GTAACACTGTGTGAGGAGAGAGGCCACCTAACATCCTGGTGAGGATGAGGGCTCAGGAGTCAGCGAGCACAGCCCCTCCCGACAGCCCTGCTGGCTGGGGACCAAGGACACAGAGGAGATGAATGTCATACTCCTCACCCTAAAGAGGAAATGCAAGCCACCCCACAGGATGGTTCTAAGTGTTAAGTGAGACACATATGAAAGTGGCCAGGATGTGTCAGATGCTACAGCAGTGGCTGAATGTCCCCAAACCAGTTTACGCTCATACTGATACAGATAATTGTAAGGTAAAAAGCAAAGCAAGAACTTGTAACAAGTTCAACACCTCCGTGTCTCAAGGTTAGCCGGGTGACCCTGCCCAGGTTATTTAATCTACCCAAGCTGTACTTTTCTCATCCACAACCTGGGTGTACTGCTTTTTTCTAGCAACCTCGTTGGGTCCGGGAATTGTTCATGGGCTCCTCCCCCATATGCCTGCTGCCTGATCTACCCTCTGTATAATTCCTTCTACCCTCTGCATAATTCACATTACGTTTACTGTTTATAAGTCTACGGCTGTCCACAGGGAGAATGAAATAAAATGAATTGAGGAGATAATATCATGAAACCAGCCTTGAAACTAAGAATGCTATATGGGCTTTTTGTATCTTTCCAGGTAAATAAATAAGTAAGAGAGCCAATAGAAACTCATGATGTCAAAAATGTTACTAGTCTTTGCAGACAAGAATGCTAACCAGATGCAAGCTAACTTGACTTAAGCATATTTATACAAAGAGATCATATGAAATTAGTAGATTGTCCAGAGCATCATCTTGACACTAATAATGAAAAAGTACTTACAAAGATTTTTTTTTTCCCAATAAGAAATATCTCTCTAAATATCTCATAGTATCCTTAAAAACATCATTGTAAATTTTAATTACTTCCAGAAAAAAAGACATGGTTTAAACCAACAAACTCTTTCAAAGATAAGTTTCAACGGACTGCACTGCCTATATTGTCTCATGATTAAAAAAGCATAACCCAGGGCCGGCCCGGTGGCGCACTGGAGAGTGCACCGCTTGGGAGCGCGGTGGCGCTCCCGCCGAGGGTTCGGATCCCATGTGGAGACCGGTTCCCGCTCACTGGCTGAGCACGGTGCGGGCGCAACAACGAGGGTTGCGATCCCGTTGCCGGTCCCCGGTACGGGCGCGACACCGAGGGTTGCGATCCCGATACCGGTCAGTAAAAAAGACAAAAAAAAGACAAAAAAAAAAAAAAAGCATAACCCAACCAATAGACTATTTAACCCCAATTAACTAAAATAAAGTTTTGCAACTTTCAAGGAAATATAACATGTCCTCCTGTTGCCATGGCAATGCCTGTGCTCAGCGCCCCTTATTAGTGATGGAACTGCCAAGTACAATCAGTCTGTGTGGGAGTGAGAGTGCGTGTATTTTTTTATACATTTCACATAGGGAGCCAGACCTTATAAGGACAGAAGATGACAAGGTGTCCTGATGAGCAGGCACCTTGTCCAGGAGCAGAGAGAAGAAAGCCTATATACATCTGATGGTATTAAATCCTTCCCACACATTCTGGACGATGTTTCTCCTCCTCCCATCCTATCTCACAATCACACATGTAAATATGAAACCCAGTAATGAAGCGATGGGAAAGCAAAGAGCTGAATTAATTGGATAGTGAATTACTGAATACACAGAGAGGAATGAATTTTTCTCAAGCTATCTCATAACTTCACTTTCTTCCCTTAAAATGACAACTTGAAGTGGAATACAGAATGTGTGTGGTAAGAAGCAGAGATCCCGCTGTGGATTTTGCATCGTGTAACATGAGTAAAAATAGAACACACCATGAGAAATGGGAGCAGCAGCAATGTCACTGAAACAGTTCACTTAAGGTGCCCCTTCACCTTTTTCTGAACGGCATTTCTGTTTAACTGAACATTTGCTGTGTCACGTTGTGAAGTGTGTTGGAGGTGTTATATCCCATACTGGTTGAGATCTATAAAAGTAGTACCTTCACCAGAACCTACGCAAGCCTCTAGTCTTAACTATCAGTAGACAGGAAATACAAGAAATACTGTAAACACCACCATGGGGATGCAATCAGCAAAATTCCACAATGTGGGGAATTCTACAGCCTCCCTACTCAAAGGACCAGCCACACAGGCATCACCTGGCACTTGTTAAACTTGTGGACTCCCAGGCCCCTCCCCAGACCTGATGGATCAGGATCTTTAATAAGATCTTCAGGTGATTCATAGGAACATTTAAGAATCAATGTTCTATAGGACAAACAAAAAACCAAAACATCAAAACAAAACAAAACGCAGAAACATATACACAGACAGAGAGAGATGGAAGTGAAGCCCATAAGCTGTAAAAGATTTTAGAGATGTATCAACTGAATGCAATATGAGTGTGCTGTTCAGATCCTGATTCAAGAAATAATTACGAGAAATATTAATACGCATGTTAATGTTTAAATCAACTAGTATATTTGGATTAATAGGTGGACTACTGTAAAAAAGTTTATAATTAATATAAAAGATACATTACATTTTTTATAGAGTAGCTTCGCTTGTAATTCTGTAAGTACATACTAGGCAAAGTGGAAGCTAACCAAAAGCTAAATGACTCTGGGAGAGTAACACTGGATAATTTAAAATCATCCTCTGTAGAACCCCAGTACCCCAGTACTAAGAATAATTCAAAAAGTTTCATTGAAATGGATGATATTAACCATTAGGTCTATGAAAACCTATCTGCAGCACTGCTTGGTCATATGGAAGGAATCAGGAGATGGCAGGTTTCTCAGCAGAGTGGGCAGGAGTGAAAAGAAGTGACTTTGGGCAAGTCACTACCTTCTCACCCACTGTAGGTGGGCTCATCTGCAAGGAGGTGAAATAACCACTGCTGTGCCTAGACTGCGGAGCTGTCAGGTTCAAATGCAAAAACAGACTTGAAAGTGACTTGGAAATCATAAAGCACTACTCAAATATTATTGGCATTTTTTTCCCCCCAAACAGAGGCAATCTGGTCTACAAGCATAGGATTTGGAATCAGACAGGATCCTAGGTCAGTGTCCCAGCACCACGTGGAAGGGGAACAAGTGAATAAGCATCTCATAGTCCCAATTTCCTCATCTGTAAAATGACATAATATCCACTGTGACAGATTGCAATACCGTCAAACTATCTTTCTTCCTCTCACTAGCCCCTTCCTGTGCAGCCCCTTCCTGCGCAGCCCCTCCCTGCGCAGCCCCTGCAGGAGGATTAAATGATCTACCTGTTGATGTCGGTTGTGGCCAAGTGGCTTCTCTTGCCCAGGGAACATGAGTGGAAGTGGCATGTGCCCCATTGGAGTGGGAGCTTTGAGAGCCACTGTGTGAATCTGCCACCACAGTCTCCCCTCTGCCATCACAACCGCAACGACCTAGATGGTGCTTGCTCCTTTGGCTGAGTCTCAGAATGAGGAGGACACGGCCCAGAGCAGCACCAGATCTGCATGTGAGACTTTGAAGTTAACACCTTCAAAAAGTTCCTATGGGATAAAACACAACTATTTCCAATTTCTCATTTGTGTTGCTCTTAAAATCCCCTTCAGGTCCATAACACATTTCTGTACCTAGCCTTTGCTCTGAAAGCTTATATCTGAAGGAATTAAAAATATGCCATTCTGGCATATCGACTATTTGGAGTTATAGGCACTTAAAAAACCAGGTGCCAGAAGATTCTGTTTCTTAAACAGAGGAGATGATATTCCCATGTGAAAGATGCCCTCCCTATACTAGAAGGAAAGCATCTTCATCATCAAAGACAGGAAGTTAAGGCAGAAAGAATTCTGTACAAGCATCATTAAAAGAACTCTTTAAGTCTTCCAACATAATTTAGTTGCTTTTTTACAACTTACTATTCTATGTTCAATTCAGTATACAAGTGTTTGACTCTAACTGCTTCTTTGGGTCTTCACTTCCTTGTGAAGACTCCCATGCCATGTAAAATGTATATGCTTTACTTCTCTTAATCTGTCTTCTGTCAATTTAATTCTCAGGCTGAGCCAAAAAAAACACACTAAAAGGGAAGAGTAAAGTTTTGCCTCCCCTACACACCATACAGCCTTATAAATTCTAGCCTTTCTTAACTATGCAATACTTAAAATCCTTAATCCAATTTATCTAAAAATACACAAAGTTACAAGATAATTTACATAAGCATAGAATTTTTGAATGTGTGTTTGCATTTTTTTTAGAAGTTACTATGGTATAAAATACAATTGGAAATACAGGAATGTGTCTGCCTTTTTGATATTTCACAAGAATTTATGTAAAGTTCTTGTACCATCATTCTTAGAATACTTCTTAAAATAATTTTAAGCATTGAATTCTTAAAATAATTTTGTTTCTCTCACTTTACTTACTAATTTTCAACACTTGTGTCATTAGTGTTACTTAAAATGTTTTAAAACAATCTAAACTACAGCAGAGTCTTGGAAAACTTTCCTCTTAATAGGTATGTGAATGAGGTAGCAGCGGTGTGTTGAGTGATCTTCATCTTCAGGAATATTCCATTGCATACTCACTTTTTAACTCCTGGAGCTCACACTGAGATAACCAGCCAGAAGGAAAACATCCAGCAGTTGTTTCCCTATCATTTTTAACACATTGATGGGTGTAGGCTTTCACTGTAACTAAAATCATGAAAACAGCACAGCCAAATACCCACCAAACCATGTGGACTCTTTCACACTACTCCAGTGAACCATTATTTAAGCAAAATAAATGGTAAAATGAGTGAGCAATTTCTGAAACAGAAATAAGAGTTCTAAAGTTGGATTTTAGTTGATAAAAAAAAGCTAGAAAAAATTTGTTTTTATTGCTAACTTTAGGTTGCCAAATAGGTACTCAGAAAGTTATTTTTCTGATCAAAGTTGTTATTTGTCTGCTTCCAGGGACATCCATCAGAACCTTGGAGTATTATCAGTTTTGGGGTAACTTACGAAGAGAGGACACACTGGAGGTGCCCCGAAGAAACTGGTGCAACCCATCTTCACTGTCACTGGAGCTGGCTATGCTGTTCCTCATCTCCAGCATGGTGATCTGTGTGCAAAGGCTGAGCTGGTGTTCCAACTTTTTGGCCTTCTGCAAAGCAAAGTATTAAGATTTCTGAGATTTATGGGATTTGAATTATATATTCTTTGTAAGGAGCATATACTTTTCCTTGAAATAAGTTAGTGCGTTAAAAAGAGAACCTTATACACATTAATGCCCAATCAATGTAAGCTATGATTTTTATTATTATCTATTATTATGGATACATTATAAAAATTTAATACACTCAATAGGCTATTTATTGATCTGAAATAATAAGCACCAACATAGTTGGATAAACCGCCTGGACAAGACCACTTTAAGAAGGCACACACCCAGTCTCGTTATCCCTGGAGAACAGTCCTCATCACAGAAACAATGTTTTGCAAGTTCTCTTCCATAATTATTTAAATTTCCTTTTGAACAAATGTGGGGAAATTAAGACCAAACTGCACATTATTTAATATCTATGCAGCCCTGAAATTCCACACCTCTCCTGTCACCTATGGGTTTCTCGGGAATTGGGCTTGACCGGGAAGGCGTGCAAGACTGGGAGACGAGGACTGGCTGGTCAGCTTAGTTGGTTAGAGCGTGGCACTGATAACACCAAGGTCCAGGATTCAATCCCTGTACCGGCCAGCCATGAAAACAAAACTAAACTAAATAAAAAGTCTGGAAGATACCAGTGTTAAAAATGCCAACTTCCTGCTCACTGGGGTTTGTCAGCCCTTCTCTGTGTGCAGCCTCCCCACTGCTCTGCCTGCCCTGGCCTGCTCCACCCCGTCTCCCTCCACTCTCGTACCATCTCCTTAGATTGTCTGAAAGGCTCTTTTGAAGAGGATAATACCTCATCACAATAAAGGTTGGTCCCTGACACTTATAGATTCCTCTCTCAATAATGGCAAATGTAATAATTACAAAATACTTCCTTGCTCTTGAGAAATGATCCCCTGAAGGATCTCTACATTACAAGGTTCTCCACTGCACTTAAAATATGACTAGTTAATGAAAATTCAGGAAAATATACATTGCATAAAATGAGGTATACCACACTATACATATTTATTTAACAAAATACATGAACTTAGAAAAACACTTACTTTATCATTTAAGGTGGGATCATTTAATGAGTAGAGCTTATTTGTAATGTCTTTTCCTATAAGATACCTAAATATTTCATACAGGAAAGGTTCTGATTCCAGAAAGTAAGTTAATCTTTCTCTTGACCAGCATAAAAATCTGCAGTTATCATCTGCAATAATGGTGACCTGCCGAAGACACAAACATACAAAGAAAAAAGTCCATCTATGCATATGAATTATGACTATGGCAATTTGAGGGAAGGGAAGAGTAGAATAATTCAGCAGACATTATCACGGCAACACTTTTTCAAATTAGTTAAATTAAGATCCAGTACACACAAGCTTCTATAACTATGTATAAAATTATGTTTGAAAACAACAGTCTGGAGACTAAATGAAAGCAAATTCTCTCTGTTCTGTTGTTGTTTTGTCCTGTGAGGTCTAGTGACAGAAGAATGGCTGCTGTGTCAATACCTCTGATGTAGAGTACAACAGACTCATGTTGCAGTTGGACATACGACTTACAGCTAAATATTTCTTTACACCCTGCTGATTACAATGAGGTTTAAGAACACAGCTTCAAGTAAATGAACTGAGGTAATATTTGTGAGCAAGTTGTAGACGAAAGACTTTCTGCCAATGTTGCAGCAACATGGATGAGCCTGGAGAAAATTATGTTAAGTGAAATAAGCCAGACAAAGAAACAGAAACACCACATGTTCTCACTCCTAACTGACTGTTAGGAAGGATAGAAGGAAAGGAGGGAGGGAGGAGGGAGGAGGGAGGAGGAAGGAGGGAGAGAGAGAAGGAGGGAGGGAGGGAAGGAGGGAGGGAGGGAAGGAGGGAAGGAGGGAAGGAGGGAAGGAGGGAAGGAAGGAAGGAAGGAAGGAAGGAAGGAAGGAAGGAAGGAAGGAAGGAAGGAAGGAAGGAAGGGAAGAAAGAAAGAAAAGACCACAACAATACATTGAATTTTCAGAAGGAGAGAACAAACCTAGGGATACTAGAGATGGGGGGAAAGAAGGGAGGCAGTTTGGAAAATGATAGGTCAGGCAAAGGGCATAAAGAAATATCACTATTTTTAAGAATGAATATGCTAATAATAAATTAAAAATTAAAAAAAAAAAAGACTTTCTGCCCAAATGATACCGCAAATACACACTAGAGACTGGAAAATTTTAAGGGCCCAGGCTATTATTGATGAATATGGCTTGTGAGAGTCCTTCTGTCATAGACCTTTCAAGGCTAGCTCCAGCATAGCCCACTGGGGATACACACAAAGATCCCCCAATAAGTTCTGAGCTGGGAAACCCTTAGGAATTTTTGCATAAGAAAGCTGGAAGGCACTATAACTGCATTACACAGAGCTCAAGTATTCCTCAAATAAACCCCTCCTCCAGAGTGAGGGGCCATGCCCCTCACTGCCCAGTGTCTGGAAGCCCTTCCTCCCACGCAGGTCCTCTTCCACCAGTTAATACCCTTTCTCCAAGCTTCGTGAAGGCACTCATATCACTAAATCCAAACTCATCTGTTGACACATCTGTCTCTCCTGAGCACTCTAATAGCAGGGATTGTGTGTCTTCATGTGTGAATACCCAGCTTCCAACACAAAGTGGTGCTCAATGCATGTTTATCGTATGAAGGAATTAACAAATGAAAATACCGTTGAAGGCAAAATCCACTTTTACATCTAGTAGAAGATTAATAACGATTTATTAAATTGACCTGAAGTTCTATCTGGGCCTCAGAGCAAATATTTCCAAAGGAGCTCTTGCCCCTTTGTAAATCACAAAATTAAACACATTTCAGATGACAAAGGGTATTTATGTCTACCAAGAGAGAAAATGAAAAACCCAGCTTCTCTCCATATATCAACAGGCCGAAATCTGATCTTTAGCAAATTAGAGGGTTTGGCTACTTTAAAAAGGGGCTAGTGTTCCCAGAAAAATAAGTTTGTATTTATTTATTATCTTAAAAGTAGGAATCCCCCAAAACCAAACTCATTTGGATTTAAGAAATGCACCAGCAGCTCTAAGTCTCCATAAAGCACTAAATTTCATACATTCTTTCAATATACATTAACGTGCACATGCTTTATGCCAGATACTGTTCAAGGCACAGAGGTTACAGTGGTGAAAAAGAAAGACAGGATCTTTGCCCCATGAAGCTTACATTCTAGTGGAAGAGGCTGATAATAAATAAATATGACAATCTCAGGTGGCAATAAGTTTTGACAAACACAGAACAAGGGAAAGTGGTAGACAATGGCTAGGAGGTGACAATCACACACAAAGCCATACACTTTATATATGTGTTGTATTTTTAAACATTTAAGGTGCTTTTATATCTACATGTAAGTGGATCTTCGAAAGTGCCTATAAGACAGATAATATTCTTACCCATTTTTCAGATGACAAATGAAAAACAATGAAAATTTATTCACAAACACATGTTTGTGGTGAGCCTTGCACTTTTGACTTCTAGCCCAGACATATTTTCCTACCAGGCAAAATCCTACTCAATGCATCCCATATTCATCAAGATGATCACATAGAAAGTATTTTGGTCAAGGGAACACAAAGTTGGCTGCACAGTCCATTGAGAGTCCCTCATGCAAAGAACAACTGGACACAATGTCATGAAGTCTACATTCTAATTGAGAAGCTGATAATGAAGAAAGCTCACCCCAAGATGGCAAGCTTTATAGGAAGAGAAGTATATGGTCAAATCAGCCCAGAGGAATGCCCATAAACAGCAGGAGGTGGGTAAATCAATGGAAGGCAACTGAAAAGTATTCCACGGGAGAATTAACAGAAAGATGAGCACTGTGCACTCATGGTGGCCCACCCATGCACCAAGGGTTAGGAGAACTGAGGTCCCTGAAAAGATGTCATCCATGACTTTGGAAAATATAACTCACATGTGGTGGGGAAGGAGTTAAAAGAGGAGTTGGAAATCACCCAGAAAAAGTAGAAGAAATTTTACCTAGGTGACATGTAAGGCATTTAACTTCTCTTCCACCATTTGAACTACCTCAAGCTTCTACTCAGGCAATGATATTTATTCTATGACACTATAATTTGCTTAGCAAATCCATTTTTTGTTGATGGCTGAAAATGACTTTAAACCTGTTTAAATTATTATTAAATATAATTTTACCAACAGTATTTAAATAATAAGCTATACCTGCAGAACACATGAGAAACTTATAGCTCCAAGAGAGCATGCATTTAGTTAGAAGCCAGCAGTTAGCATGCTGACCAAGGCCATTTTACTTGATAGCTAATGCTTCATTTCTGCCAAAGAGACAGTTTTATTTAAAGATTTCCTGTCACGGCAGTCAAAGTGTATTTTTAATGAGGATTTTGTAGAAAGCAACATAAAAAAATTTAAGGCTTCTGTAAAATAAATTTACTTCTTAAGTTATTAGGGTACTTCAGCAGGGGCATGCTTCAGTTCTTGTGAAGAATTCTACTGAAGAAATAAAAGAGCGCACGGCAATGGAAGACACAAAAAGGTATCTTTCAGGTAGAGAATTAGACTGAGCATTTGCAACTATGTTTGCAGTGATTATCAAAAGATACTGGGTTGGTCCCTCACTTTAGATTCCAAACCACTTCTACACCCTGATATAAACAGTGAACCGCATCCCAGGAGAACGAAGGTGTGTGAGGGAATTGAAAAATGTGCTAGAATCAAAAATGTAAGTCTGACAATAGGACTGGTTGACTGTCCTGAGGGAAGAAGTCATTATTTTCTTCATGCATTTTAGAGCATTTCACACTCCAGGAACATGAAAGTGTCCTAGAACATGGTCTATTCAACTAACACTTATTGAGTTCACATAAGCACTAAAATATGGCACAGTCAAAACTGGCAGATTAAATTGCTTCACAGCTTCACTGAAATATTTACATAATACTAAGATAATGTTTTCTTTAAACACCAGTTAAAACTTACTGTTCATTTATTTTACAAGAGTGTGGACATAGGCCTCCGAGACAGTCCTTTTCCTTTAAGTCAATCAAGCTTTGATTTCTGGCTTCTTAGCACCAGGACATGCTACCAGCTATGGGAAGGCAACAGCATGACAGAACACTAAAGAAACACATGTGAGTGGCAAAGTTCACTTGATGTAAAATGGCATGAATGATACTACTACTCAAGATTCTACCACAGGTATAAATAGCAACTTTGGTCTGTAAGTACCAAAACATCCTCCTAGAGAGAATAAACTGTAAGTTCAGAATCTGTTTTCTCATCTCTATCACTATGCCTATTATCCTTATAACTACTGTACATTTACTGTAGAGTAGAATATTACAGCAACGCTCACTGTACAGTCTCAAGGCACAGCCATTGACTCCACTTGCCTTTTATTTCTTCCTTTTCATCCTATGTACAATTCATTAGCACCCCAACCACAGAATGAATTTAAAGAAATAAAAATTCAAAGGAAGTAGCTCCTTGTCAGAACACCTGAATGTGGTCAGAGTTAGGGAAAGATGAGATTAGCAGGAAAAAAGCATGTGGGTGGACAAGTCTGACCACGGATATTTCAAGTGTCCTCTGCCATTGGCACAGGTAGTGAGAAGTTAGCCCTGGGAGCATGTGATATTTTTCATTTGGGAACTTGCTTCAGTAAGAGGTAATATATATGCTCCTACACAGATGTGCAACAGCTATTTTTTACTCTTGAGCATCTGCCAACAGGAATATTTTGAAAGCAGTGAAAGCACAATCTCTCCCAAGGGCTTACTCTTCTGGAGTCAGCTCGAACTGTGCAGGACACAGACTGGATGATGATAGGGTAGTTTTTATCCACTGACCAACCAGGAAATGCCACACCAGACCCTAGGCAGAGAAAAGCTAAGTGGTGGTAGGAAAGGCAGAATAAATGTCCTTCACCCAGATACGGTACCTCAATTTTGGTCATGTTTTTGGAATCTTCACAGTATATCAGGAACATTTCCCAACTACCAAAATCCAATCCCCAGTTCCCAAGAAGAGAAACGTAGTTAGTGGCCAGAATTCCTTTATGTCAACTTAACTATAAATATAATTTGAAATCCAGTGGAAAAGACAGTACATGTTAGTATCCCCAGCCTTTTAGTGGTCACCTGCTTCTGGAAATGGGAGACTTAGTTCCCACTCCATCCCCAACTCCCACTCTTTCCTGGATTACATGAGACTGAGTTATTATATAAAACCACTTGCTACTATACACAGAGAAACAGCTGCAACAGAGAAATGCTGGGCTTTGGAAGAAGATACTGCAGGGAGGTCAGAGGAAATAAGGAAATTAAAAAGAAGTGGCCCGGCACCAGTATGTAGATGGTGGTGATTAAAGATACAATATGAACAAAAGTCTCAGGTCATACCTGACCTTTACAATAACAAGGTGAGAGTGTAAATTAGAGGAGCCTGGATACAGCATTAGCTTCTCCTTCTGTATCTGAAACCCAGCCAGCCTGGGAATAGTGCTACACATAATCGGTGAACTTGTATGGGACCTTCTAGTAAATGCACAGAACGTTAGCAAGTTACATGATTACTCAGGTAGCATGGGTGCAGGGTAGGGCTGAAACCATCAGAAATGAAATAAACTAAACTGTATATTGTAAATTTTCCTTCCCATTTATCTCCACTCTTGTGGTATCCCAAGTTATACAGCATCTCAAAATGAGGCTCTAAAATTAGATTTTGCTATCAAAAACACTGACATTTCTTCCTCCCTCAGGTGCTAACATCCCCTTCAATTCCACTTCCTACTTAAACAGATTTATCTTCTTGCTCATAAGTAATCCTGTTCTCAGGATTACCTTACCACTTTTTATCCAGAGGCTGAAACTAAAGGAAACTCCCTGATTTTCCTGGTTACTTTCCTACCAATGACGAGACGAATAAAACAGGAGAGCAGGGCACTTACAGAAAGAATCAGAACAGAATGCCACGTAGTGGAGCAATACATTACATTTCAAATACAAAAAGAATCACACTGAGTATTCCACATTTGAATTATTGCTACTAAGAAAAACTTCACTCTTTACCTGTAAACATAGTCACTACGAATAAAAGAGCAAAGTGATTAGATTTTTTTCACATGGATTAACAAAATAAGTTATATAGGGCAAAGCCAGTTTTCTGTTTTCTCCAATAAAAGAAATTAATTACATGTTTTAGAAACACTGATTATCTCGAACAGACATTTTCCTTTTTCTCATAATAAAAGCATTAGATGTGTTTTCTTACAGAACAATTATAAAAATTCAAATAAGCAAAAAGGAAAAAAAACCAAACTCACAACCTAGAAATAACAGTGTTAACACTATTTCCAAATTAGGATTAGGATTTCTAGACCTATTTTTGTTGCGTATATACACATTATTTTAAGTTTTTTAAAAAACAGGATCCCTACTGGCCAGCTGCCACAAAAAAAACAAAACAAACAAACCCAGGATCATACTATATATACCACACGGTAACCTCTTTTTTCGATAAATTATGGCTACTTTTCTGTTAATACTCTTTGGATTTTGAATGAAACATGAACTAGTTTCAATTTCGCAAAAATCATGCTAAAACATACCTGAAATTTTTCACCTTTGTGCATCTGAGTTGATCTAAATTCAGGAGAATCTATGAAGGCACAGGGGTAAATGTTATGCAGAAAATGTCCTCGATAGGAGACTTTCATTCTGATAACAGAAATTCATGTTAGTAAACACACAATTTCACAAATAACATGATAATCCTTAAAATCACCATAATCTTATAAAATTGTGTTTAGTACTAAAGTTTTTAAAATTCCACAGATAATGGACGTAATTAAAAGCACTTCCTGAGGCAGAAGTATTTATTTCAAAAAATACAAGGGCACTTCAAAAAGTTCTTGGAGAAATAGAATTAAAAGATAATATGAATCTTTCCATGAATGTTTTGAAATACTCTCATAATGTAAGGAAAAAAACCAGCATCCATACTGAACCAGACATGTGCCTTCCGATGGTTACCATTGCTCATATAGGTGGAATGGTAGTATAATTTGTTACTCAAAATGCGAGACTTTTGAGAGGGAATGGGTACTATTAATAATCACGCCAGCACACATATACTGGCTCTCTCCCCAGAAGACTGATATTCCTAGAAGTTATACTTTTGTGATGTTTAAAAAAAAAAACACCTCTGAAGCATGCATAAGCTCCTGAATTTTAATGTCTAATTTAAACCTACTTCGATTTTGAGTAAATAAAAGGTCAAAAATGATTAAAAATATTCACAATTAAAAAATCCTGACACCAACATGATTCACAGCAGTAAATTCTACCTGGCTTTAACACATGCTCTATACTGTTCCAGGGTGTCATTGTAAAATGAAATTTCTAATTTCTTGCTACCCCCCTCCACCTCCCTCTTTCCCACCTCTGGTGGCCTCAGTCCTGTTCTCTCCGAAGTTCAGTGAATTATTGTGATTGTTGTATCTTTCTTTCTTTTTTTAGTGATTTGTTCAGAAATTGGTAAAGGGCCACAAAAAATGATTACATTGTATAATATTGAATATACTAATTATTCTGATGTGAGCACACAGATATGGATATTCAACGCTGTACCCCACAGAGATGTACAATCAATCATGTTTCAATAAATTAATTAATTTAATTAAATTTCACCAGTGACAAACTGTGCCTGCTTCCTCCACTACTTGGCAACATTTCCTTCCATTCATCTCCTTCCCAGAGGCCATGAAAAGACTCAAGGCAAACTAGGAATTTCAATTTCCATAGATCACTTACTTTCCCTTCAGGAGAATACTCAGACGATCATCAACTGAGGTTTTGTCCTCGGCAGCATAAGTCTGGCCCTTTTTCAAGGTTTGGATCATGCAAAACTGTCCAGTTAATCTTCTGAACAAATCTGGAGGGACCCGGAGTGGTTCAAACAACCGTCGGTAGACACTGCTGAGTTCCTTTTCAATCTTCACCTGAAATGCAGCCAGGACTTGATGCTGTGCTAGTGCAGCAGCCCCCAACACTGACCACTGTGGTCTCAACACGGTGTTGACAGTAAACAAACCAGTGATCCACATTATTACCTTTCTGTGTTTGGGTCAATGGAATTTCACACACAGAGAGTAAATGGTGATGTAAGGTGGTTATACCTTAGATGAAAAAAGGGCTTTTTGCAGTTAGACTGAACTACTGATCACACCTCTTCCTATGGGCTATAAAGCAACGGTTGAAGTTTTGAATGTTGTCACACTGTTCCCTTCCCAATCTTAAAATCTTCTATAAATAACACAAAACCTTTTCTGTGAAACAAAAGGATTCGCAGAAAAAAATTACACTAACTTTTACATGTTATAGCAAGAAAATAAACATACAAAATAGGAATCAATGTGGAAACAAATTTACAAAAACAATACATACATTAAGCATTTTATTTCTATGCAATTTAATGCTAAGATAGGAAAACAAATCCCCCCCCCCCCGCAATCATTGCTTCACATTTATGTATTCTCAAGCAAAGTGAAAGAAAAGGGTGTAAAAGCATTTCAGCATAGCAGTTGCACTCTAAGCTAAGATTAACTCTGTAGAATGGAGAACTCATTGGTAAATAAGGCTGGCTCCTGGAGGAAGAAAAAAGCAAAAATGGCTTAATTGCCTCTACTGTCAGATTCTCCATGGTCCAGGTCATGCCCTGTGTTTGGGCCCAGCATTAATCTCCAGAAGCCATACTAATTGGGTGGATGGAAAACTGTACTGCACTGTGAATTAACTTTGGGGTCCAAACCAAACGATCATCTGTCCCAATAAAATCTCTGGCAGATACACTATGCAGCCTATAGACCCATGACAGCTGCTCCACCCTGAGGTCACTCTAGCATTAGCAATGCTCTTACTTGTCCGGCTGTTTCATTTCAATGAAGAATCAGCATTTATAGTTTTCAAAAAAGTAGGTTTATAGTCTGAGTAGAAACAAAAGCACAGATATTAAGCAATTTATCTTCCTGGTGCTATGATCACTCTGGCAACTTCTGAACCTTATTATTTTGGGGTTCCAGCAAGTTCTGATATTTAGGAACTGTATCCTCATTTTAACTATCGTTTACTACTTCCCTTATGCCAGAGCTCTCGTAATAAGCATTTAAAATAATTTATTCACAAATATGTACCACTTCCAGCATGTACACTAGCCAGTGTGGCACAGTAATGAACACACAATCTGAAAACTTTATTGACATATTCATCATCTGCTCATCCTGCAAATCTCAGCTCAAGTCCCAATTTCTTCATAAGGGCCTCTTAATTCTTCTCCTCTTTGAAAGCAGTCACTCATCAAATGTTTCTTTTGAGCACCTACTGTGTGCCAATCGTGACTGACGGAAACAGGGGATACAGCAGTAAGTGTGGCAGATTATATTACTGTTCCCAATTATTTGCTGCTCTCAACCCCCATAAAAGGATTACACATCCCCTCACCCCACCCCACCCCCCACATCATCAAGTTTAGCCATGCTTTGGCCAATGAAATGTGAGAAGTGACAAATGTCCCTTTTGAGCAGAAGTGTTTTTTTGTTTGTTTGTTTGTTTTTGTCCTTTTTGAGACCGGCCGCACCGCACTCAGCCAGTGAGAGCTGTGACCTCACCGGTCATCCCTATATAGGATCCGAACCCGCGGCCGGAGCGCTGCTGCACTCCCAGCGCCGCACTCTCCCGAGTGTGCCGCACTCTCCCAAGTGCGCCACAGGCTCGGCCCTTGAGCAGAAGTTTTAAGAAACATTGGGTGTTTCCCTTTTGTTCTCTTGTACTTTTCTCTCTGCCATGAGAATACAAGGGCCAAATGGAAAGTGCTGCTTCAGCAGCGACCCTAAAATGATGCATGGATGGAACAGATCAGGGCTGACACACAGCTGCTGGGGTCTAAATATAAGATGGGTGAGAAAAACAGCCCACTGCTGTGGTATATCACTGAGATTTTCAGGTTGTTTATTACATAGCATAATCTAGAGAAAACTGACTAATTCAGTAAAGCAACACAGACAGAGTTACTATGTTTGAGTTTCTAGTGAAATGCCTATTATACATATTATCTGTATCATTCAAATTGTAATCTCCTGTGAATTGTCTAGTTTTCTAACAGTCTTCAACATACAGGTCTGTACTTGAACGTAACATTAGGGTGAGTATTTTATCTTTTACTTTACTGAATGCTTGTGTTTAGGAAAGTCAGTAAACGTGTCTGGAGTGATCTCTAGCAGCCCTGCTGTTTTCATACCCTATTTTTATTTTTGATATGATCAAGGAAACACATAAAGATAAATCAGAGTAGAAAAGAAAAAGCTAAATACTGGTGTTTTAGTAACAACCCACCAAAACCGCTGATTTCCTTAAATGAATATTTGGGCACAAGAAGAAAACATAGTCTTTACATTAAAAAACAAAACAAAGCAGGAACTATCTGTAAATCATTAGTATGTTTACAGAAGTTGCCTATAGTAAGTAATTTTATAACTAGGCAAAGATATTCCCAAGTGACATTTGAATATCAATAGACAAAATAAATAATCAAGTAATATGACTAAATAGAAAATATTATTCATATTTTCTCATGCCTAATGATTTAAAAAGTTTGAAAAACTCTTTTAAAGAACAAATTTCACGGTACTTAAGTGTTTTACTTTCAGGTACATCCAAACAGAAGATCTAATCTTAAGAGAAATGATATTGCAGGGACTAATGATGTTAGATATTCACTCACAAGTCTGAACAAAACACTTTTGAAAGCTTTTAGCTTTAAAATCACTTATTAATTAATTTTAGTAATTACCGGTCTTTTCTTGTACAAAAGATATGAAAGATGCAAAATGTTGACACCCAAGAACACAGAGTTCCAGATCATTATATCCAAGGCACATCGGTAGAGAGTGGCCCAGACAATATAAAGGGTACATCCTGTTGAATAACAAAGTTAAAATGTTAGATATTTAAAATAGCTTCAGTGGGTAGCTTAACAAATTTATCATCCTCTCTATATAAATCAAGCACATTTTAGAAATGCCCAAGCCAAATATTCATTGTTACATTTTGTTTTTCATCTGATTACAAAAACAAAACAAAAAAAACCCCACATGATTTGTTGCAGAAAATTTGTAAAGTATAGAAAACATTTTTTAAAAGGTAAAAAGTCCAGAATTCTACTAATTAAAGAAAACCACTGTTGATAGTTAATGCTGCCTTACAGTTTTCATACTGTTTTACCTGATGGCAAACCTATAGCATACTCAATTTTAAAACCTACTTTTAAACCTATTTTTAGCATAGCTTTTAATGACTGTAACTAATTAAATCATAATTTACTTAACCATTCCCCTACTGCTGGACAGATAAGATTTGGGGAGTATAATTTTTGTAAGTAGCAAAAACACCTTTATACATAAAAATTTATCTGTATTTGTGATTGTTTACTTAGGCTAGATTACCTGAAGGTGAATCAAGAGAATGAACTTTATAGCTTTTGATAATATTGAAGAATTGTTTTCCAAAAGGTTTGTACAAATTTGCAATCCTACTACTAGGGAATACCAGTATCATGTTGTCAATATTATAAAATCTGAAAATTCTTACTTTTATAATTATGAATTATGAATACATACTTAGGAATCACATATTGTATTTTATTTTGCATTTCTATGATTATTAGTAAGTCTGAATATTTTACCAAAATATTTTAGCCAACTGGATTTTCAATCAATGACTATCCATTCATCTATTGGAATCTTCCTGTTTTGTGTTATCAATTCTCTTACCTTACATAAAGTATCCCCAGTTTCTTTTGATCTATTTTGTCATGAGAAAGTTAATACATATTTTTAATTTAAAATAAAATTATCACTAAGATATAAATATATTGACACATACACACAAAAGCTAACCTCCCACTTTAAAAAGTTATTCTTTGGCAATTTTTTATTTCATCAGAATGATTTGGGGCATCTGAGTAAAGCCCAAAATGTAAATATTTAAATGTTCTTTAAATAACATTTCATGGCAAATACTGAAGTAATTTAAAATATCATAGTTTAAAGGAGACAGGTTAGAAGAATAGAAGGCCTGAGGGAAGCCAGAGGACCTGAATTATAGTCTTGGTTTGGCCATTTTTCCCCATCTTCATTTTGGATGGGTCATTTTAATTGTCTAGGCCTCACTTTCTTCATTTATAAAGTGTTGGACTAGAAGATTTATTTGGTTCATTCCACCTTCAAAACTCTGTCCTGAAGTTCCTAATTGATTTTTGTGTTTTTGTAGGGTGCTTTTTTCCCCATTCAACACTCTGCTGTTCCTGGTGCAATCCCCACTTTACTCAGAGGTTACACAGCGCCAGAAGTCTCACAAGCTCACAAGCTGCCTTCGAGCTACATTTCAAGCCTCTTCTAGTCATTTTTCGCCTATGTTAGGCACAATGAGCTACTCTTCATTCAGCCCAATATGCTGAATTTCCCTTTCTTCTGTGACCTTTGCCTGGAAACCACACACACTCACACCCAGAGAAATCGTGTTCATCTTCTAAAAACCAGCTCCAGTGTCCTCTCCTCAGTGAAAGACCTTGCTCTGCCTTCCTACGGAACTTATCGACTTCTCCATTCCCCTGGGCACTGGGTACACACTTGCACCACAGCATCTGACACGTCACATTGTCACTGTCCGTCTGTTTTACTCCCAGCCCCCATAATAGTGTCTTTCTCAATGCTGGAGACCACCTTCCTAAATCTTTGTCTGACACATTACAGTTACTCAAAACTGCACCTGAATAAATGGATAATCAGGGAAATAATCACATAGAGAGTAATTTGTCAAGTATCACTGGCTAAAATAATAGATTCAATTGTTTCAATATTTTGATGTGAATCAACTTAACCCACTTCATCAGGGTTACTGGGGCCAAAAACTGTTTTACTTGAACTACTGGGTCTGGATAACTGTGTTCCTAATCTTGCTTTATTGGCCACAGCAAGTTAGTGCCTTTTCTAATAACAACAGTTAAAACTATATAGTACTTACTATGTGCCAAGCATCTTCTAAGTACGTACATATACATATAGATGTGTATGTGTGTCTGTATACACACACACACACACACACACACATATATAAAATCTCACACACACAGTCACTTAATTCTTACAAAAACCCTAGGAGGTGGTATTATTTTCACCCTATTTGACACATGAGGATAATAAAACAATGGTAAGGCGAAATCACTTGCCAAATTACACAGCTAGCAAGTAGTAGAACCAGAATTTGATTCAAACAATCCGGCTCCAAAGACCACACTCATACATGAATGGATTTTCTGATACCTGGAAAACCTAAACAACATATGAAAACATACTTATGTTTTACCCAAAGTAAGTAAGGGAGAGACATGGCATGTGACGGCCTATGTTCTAAGTTACTTGATATATTGTTAACTGGATAACAAAGACTTACACTTTTTGGTATGCTATACACCTGTACACCTGACAGGGGATACTCTGAAGCCCCAATACAAAGGCCATCTGCTGCCAGTTATAGAAAAGTTATATAAAATCTCAGTTAGGTATCTTACCTATAGCTAACATCCCCCTAAGAAATATCATATGAAGGTGAACAGTAGTTGGAATAACCAACCCAACTGCAAAACAAATATTTGCTACATGAAAAACTAGATGATGTATCTCTCTCCAGTTTTCACAAGTGGTCTCATTGGAAGGCACAGGTATGATACTTTCTAACTCAGGTGTAAAGCCTATTGCAGTTGGTTCTGCCAATTGGCTGGTCTCTGTATAATTCATCTTGAAAATTCCTGTAAAAACAAATAAACAAAAAAAAAATCATAAAAATGGCAACTGTATCTTAACATCCCTATAGGTGTTATACCAAAACTATTTTTGTGAATTAAATATTGGCAAATGTTCTCCACTGCTTATGAATTAGATAGACCTGGGTTCAATTCCCAGATCTGTTTAAATGTATCCATTTTCTTACCTGTTAAATGATGATAATAATACTTCATTTGCTTTATGATTAAATGAAATGAAATATATAAAATAGTTGGCACAGTGCACAAGTATTCTCTGACATATATTTATGTGTATGTGTGTGTGGAAGTATATGTATATACACATACTTGATGAGGGAGGGAGAAGTAAGGGAATTAACTAATCTAAAAATACAATTACCAATGTTCATAAACCACAGCAATTACAAAGTTATTTAACACAGTCTTCCATCATATTCCCACTGGTGACACTGAATCCCAACAGAAAAAATAACTGGAAAAACTGATTTTTTTGAATACCTACAAAAAAAAATTAACACCCTCATATTCACTATTTGAAGACTTAGGATATTTAGGCTTTCTTTTTTACTGTCATTAAATCACTATATCATACATATATATATTTATTATCATATATGTACATAATTTATAATCATATACATTACTATAAACATTTATGTATACACAGATAGATAAAACATTTATACTTTCTTTTATTGTCTAATTTCAATCTCTACTTTCTTTCCCATAATAATTCTAGTTGGTAGCATCTCACAAATTAAAAAGTAGTAAAATTCCAGTTTACTGATATGTAGGAGGGGTCAGGTATATATATTTAACTATTTAATATTAAAATCTATAGCAAATACATTTCAAAGAACATACATTTTACACATGCTTATGTAAAAATTAACACAAAGTGGCACTATTTCCTGACCATATTACCTGTCCTTGGTCTCTGGTCCTTAAAAACACTTTTTCTATTATTACTTACACAAACTTGGTCCTTGACAAAAACTATGTAGGTTCACAGAATACATGAATTAATCTGTTTCGGAAAAAAAATTCCAAATGGGGACCCAAAATACCTTTAAATTTAATTTAGAAATACTGTATGTATTTCTCTCAAAATAATGTCATGCAATTAACCTTACTCTTCTATTTGTTTTCAACCTACTAAAGTAAGGGTTTTGGAAGCAGTAGAATAATGGACAGAGGTTGGAAATTTTGAAAGGATGTAAATAGACAAATGTGAAAGAATTCCACATCTTCTAGAATGATAAAAAACATACACACAAATTTACAAACCGTGAATGAAATGATCAAATCAATTGATAAGAACTACCATTTAATAACAACTACTATTTCTATGGTACTTCAGAATGTGCTTGCACTCCCACTGTCCTGTGTGCTCTTCTAACCACCCTTGTCCCTAGGATGCAGGGACAATGCTTATTCATCTATGTACTTCCAACACCTAGTCTCTATAGATAACGCCACTGAGGCAGAAATGAAAGCCATACTGAAGGGACATGAACATGACACACTTTTAGAAATCGCTGTTCAGTCTCCCCACAGCTCTGTAGTAAAGATAGGGGAACACCTAGCCTTCCCGAAGTGGGCAGAATCAGATTCTACGCCACAAGCCACCAGGGAGTCACATAAGTCAAGGAAAGTCACTTCTACTCTTGGGTCTATTTCTTCCTTGCAATAGAGGTAGCTGGACTAGATGGTCTTTAAAAGTCCTTCAAGTTTTATTAGCCTATGGTTCTAATACACACTTATATAATAAACTAATCAATACATATTCCCCTGCCTACCCTCTCAATTACACATGTACTTCAATTTCAGGCTTTTATATGTTCAAGTGGCACTACACGTACCAATTTCTGGTCCAAGAAAAATGATAGAAAAACTACAATCTACTGACCCAAGAACCAGAAAATAGTAATGCCAATCTTTATTTATTATTATTATTATTATTATTATTATTACATTCTAAAGTAATAGCAATTTTTAAAAGGTGGGATCCTCTTACCACATATTTTGACACACAACACCTAACTGTATGTATGTATGTATATGTATATATGTATAGTCTATTGTGAGATGCCAGTTACCTATTGTCAATAAATACTGATTGGATCTTACTGGCTTCAGCTTATTTTGATGGATTTAAGTGGCTTATACTGAACTATCCTAATACAGAGAATAAATTGGCCTAACGAGGAAGTTGGTAAACTTTCAGATTAATTTTAACTAAATTAAGAGAAATTATCATCCTCTCACCAGACCCTCAAAGCCAAATTTCTTAAATTAGCTGTTCTAATAAAGTCCTGTTTATCTATTGGTTTTTAAATAGGTGTTTGCAGGGCTAAATAGTTAAATGGTCAAACTAACATTATACCTTCACCAAACTACAAACACGAAGATAAAAGCAATGAGCAAAAGTGGTGTGAGTAGATTTAATTCATTCTGTGATTGTAACTGAATCTTTGTACACCTTCGGAATGGCAAATGGCACTACGTTGCTGAGAGTCTCTCCACACGTATTCATGCCTCAAAGCAGGCAATTTCTGGGACTTATCTGGCCAACAACCCGCTTCCCAACGGCTCGGAGATGAGAGAGCGGATGGGTGGCGAGTGTCACGGCCCCCCTGGGACCCCGTCTCCGCTCCTAAGAGGAGGGTCAGTGTCAGCTGTTCTCCTTGACCAGGCGCTCTCGGGCCGCGCCACCTCACCTCTCTCCCAGCGCGGAGCAGGGGTGCGCGACACCACGCGTCCGACTACGCGCGGCTTCCGCGCGGGACCCAGCGGCCCCACAGTGCGCGAGGAGGGGCCTTGGTGTGCTTGGGGACCGGGAGCCCCGGGACCCCAGTGGAGAGAGGAGCAGCCGAGCTCGAGAGCCGGCACCCGGAGGGGCCGAGCGCCCGACGCTGGCGCTGCCTGACCCGAGCTGCGGCAAGCTGACACTTGAGGGTGGGAACGGCGGCGCTCAGACCCGGGCAGAAGGGCGACCTCCAAGGACAGGGAGCCCGTCGAGGGCAAGGCCAGCGAGGAGGGGCAGAGGGCGGCGCTTTCGGGGCCTGGACATAGAGAACGGGCAGCCGGCGCTGGGGCCGGCAAAGTTGCTCCCAGTGGAGCTGGAATCCAACTTTTGCTTCCCGATTTGGCCCGAGGAGCGCGAGGTTGCAAATAGCCAGGCGCGCGGGGGGAGCCGGCGGCACCTGCACCTCCCGCTCCTTACCTGGCTTGTTCCCGGCACGAGTCTGGGCGGCGCTGGCCAAAGTTTGGGGCGACAGAGACGGGGCGCGGAGCGCGAGGGACAAGGACGCAGCGGCTCGACGGGCGCCTGACGTGCGCGCCTCTGCCGATGGGCGGGTCCGGAGGCTCCGCGGCCCGTCGTATAA